CAAGAACGCTGTTTATTGCAGGCAGACCCAACAAGTGTCGACCCCGCCAAGCTCTCCCCCAACAGAGTGAGGCGTTCGGGACAGGGTCGCTCTATGTCTGTCCAGAGCTCGCTGGATCCTTACGGAAGCAACACGACTCTAAGCTCCAGTGGAAGCAGTGAGATGGTGAGCTCTGAGGGAGGTGGCATCAAGCACTCGTCCAACTAGACGCTGTGCCAGCATAAGTAATAATGAATGCAAGGTCTTCTCAGCCAGCACCACTTATATAATTGCCACAAGAAAGTTCCTTCAACCCTTTGGTGCACATTAGTTTTTGTTTTATGCCGTTGTCTTCTTCGGGAGAAGCAAATATCAGAGAATCAAGCTATTTGAATTTAAAATGGTTTGAGCTAGTTGAATCGATAGCCTGCAGTTTCATATGTTTTGTTTTTTATCGGCCTGTCTCCAATGTCTGATCTCAGTAGGTATACCCTATAGTGGAGTTGCAGCCTCTGCTAGCTATTTTTACAAGCATGAGATCTGGATTACAGGGTGGATACGGGTAACTGAGGAGACATTACGAATATAACACCACCAAGTCTTTGTAGTATTCAGTGGGATAACTTTCTTTATGGTCGAACAGCTATATGATGGTTTACTCACTGCAGTAGTTTTATGGTCGTACACTTCACATACAACACACTGACACAGGCCTGTTCCTAAACAGGGGGCAAGACCTCTGTTTATGACAGTTTTATTAGGCATGATGAGGTAGGTGTACTTTTATCATTTTGGTCAGTGAGCAGCCTGTTTGATGATGGATTTTTCTTGTCACGTTTGAAAACATTGCATCACCTGATTTGTTGTCGAGTTATGAGTTGTATCTGTTGTCCAACGAGTATATGGTCACCACACATACGTGCGTGAACTAGGCAATGTTATCATACTGAGTTTTATGGCTGTTTTCTTTGTTGACATGTTGGCATCTTGTGATTGAGTCTCCTCTCAGAGGTGGTAGTTGTGAGGTGTTCACTCATATCTTACAGTCATTACTTCACCCAGAAGACAGAAATCTTCATTACTTCTCTCGTTATTAATTCTAGCTTACTATAAAATTTGCAGTTGTTATACATTCTACATATATGATTGGCAACATGCTTAGGATATCTCAACGAGTCCTCAGTTTCAAGTTGCTGCTGTCCTAAAGTTAATTCTATTTTTGGACAATCTGTGACAGACTTAACGTTGTTTTTCTTCTGTAGTTTAAAGTCTTAAGTGGTGATGAGACTGCCATGGTAGGGGCTTGACAAAAGAAACATGGGACTTGGTAATATTACAAATACAAACTCGAAGTAGCCCTGCAACTACCTGGCAACATAGGATTACTTCAGTTTTTGCTGTCTTTTACCTGGCAACATAGGATTACTTCAGTTCGTGCTGTCTTCATATTTTTACCAGTGTCACTGGGTTGACTGGTGACACTATTTCACTTTCGCATTGCTTCCAATAAAAGTTAAGTGAATTACTTTAAATACTATTGAGGGATATTGTGTAAATAGGCTTTACTGCCCACAGTGTAGTATGTACCCTTATTTTTATAAATGTGAATTCTCACCATTAGTTGGAACAGGTAGCTTTCATTCTGATCTGGGATTCAAACTATTTATTACACGGAATAACCCAGATCAGATGGATATATGTTCATGTGATTACAAATTAGGGGCATGAGGAACCACAAATCCATGTCTGCAACTTACTTCTTGTTTAAACAGGTAATCTTAAGACTAATACTGATTTACTCTTTCTGGGGTGTACCCAGCCTCCCATCCATCCCATCGGAACAGTGATGCTTTTTCTAGTGCTCTATGTAACCAAAATAGGAAATTGATCATTTGCCTTTAATTACTTGGAAGCTTGTGGTTGATGGTGTATTTTTTTAGACGCAGTGGAACCCTTTCCATCATATGCTCTACCTCCATGCTCCCCACATACTTTCATGGTGTGCTTGGGCATAGAGACAACGAATCTTTTATATTGACTATACAATTTATGGAAGGAAAGTATCTGATGTGGCTTTATCAAGTATAGTAGTGATGCAAGAGAATTTGGGAGTCCCTATTTTTTTAAT